CCTCTGACGTGACGGGGACCCCAAATGGCATTCAGAACATCCGCGGGGGCTCTGCAGGGTGCAAGGGGGGACCACCTTGGCCTCCAGCGTCTCCCGGGAGCTGCTGGGAACGTGGCACCAGCGCAGCGCCCAGCCCGGCTGTTTTGCAATCAGAGGTGCAGGCGGTTCCCGGCACGCCCGGCTGGCGGCGGGGCGGCGGCGCTGACACGGCGATGGGAAAACACGCCGGGGGGCCCCCGCCTCTCTGCTCCCCGCCCTGGGCATGCCGTGGCAGGGCACGGCCACGTCCCCGAAATGGCTGCCGGCTGAGTGCAGCTGGAGCCCCCCGACCCGACCCTGGGGGTCTGCCGGGCAGCCCCTGCCCTGGGCTGCGAGTCAATGGGCTCAGCGTGGGGCCCTGGCCTGAGGAAGCTCCCAGCGTGTGTTTGATGCTGCTCCTGGATAGGCTGCAGCCAGGGTCTGAAAGGAAAGGTTGAGATCCACATGGAGCCCGTCCTGGAGCAGGGTGATGCAGAGCGCAGAGCTGGGCAGGGTTTGCACACTGCGGTGCTGCTGTGGGGAGCAGCCGACCTCATGGGTTTCACCTGCTGCCAACCCAGGGGGGTCCTGGTGAGCGTGGGGCTGAGACCGTGGTGGAAAGGCAGCAGCGTTGTCGTGGTGTGGCTGTCGGTGCAGCCTGGAGCTGGCCATTGGGAGAGCTGTGCCCATGGCAGATGTGCAGCTCAGCACGACAGCAGTCCCCATCTGGGGTTTGGGGCCTGATGCAGGCACCGGCTCGAGCGCCAGCAGAAGGGCAGCAGGAGATCTGGGGCCTGCAGGGGTGGCACTGTGCTCACTGACTTCTCCCAGCCAAAAGCAGGGACAGCGGCCGGGCTTTGGCCAGCCTCCACACGGCCCACGAAAGTTCCCCGTTCCTCTTCCAGGCCGGCACGCACTGCTGGCTGAGATCAGGGCTCCGTGGCAGAGCACACGGCTGCTGCCGTGCCCCGAGCCGGAGCGCACAAGGGACGGAGCCGCGGGACACGGCAGCACGGGACCGCGCCGCCCCCACGGCCCGGGCACGGGGAGCACGCGGCGCTGCTGCCGCTCCCTCGGCCGGCAGGGCGGTGGCCGCGTTGTGTAAGCGGCCGATCCCCGCGGCGCCGGGCCGTGCCGGGACGGGGCTGCGCGGAAGGCGCTGGCGGGCGGCCCGTGTTTGGCCCTCGGGGAGTTGCTGCGTGTAGGCAGCGCCCAGCAGGGAGGGGCCGCGGGGCTGGGCGCGCGTTCCCGCACACACCTCGTGGGTTTTGCCTCGTAAGGGAAACGCGAAGTGGGGCGAAGCAGGTGCTGACTTCGGCTGCCTGGCCCCGGCCCCCAGCTCAGTCAGCAGAGCCGGGCTGTGGCACTCTGCCAGGCGCTGCCACCTCCGCCGCTGCCGTTGCTGCTGCACGCACCCCCAGCAGCCCCGCTCCCCCCTCCCCTGCTCAGCACTCCGGCACCTCGCTCCCATTTCACTGCGTGATCTTTGTGGCACCTTCTGATCCAGGCCGTTCCATGAGGCTGCAGGGCGCAGCGCTGTGCTGGCTGCGGGGCAGCTCCTGGCTGACAGGGGCTCTGCCTCGGGCCCCACTGTGCACAGCAGAATGGGGCTGAGCACGGGGGCACCACACCAAGGGCCTCACTGTCCTGCCCAGAGCATTGGAGGTACGCTGTGAGTGGGCGCCCAGGACGGGGCCCAGACCCAGCTGCTGAATGGCACCAACCTCCCAGGGCTGAGAGCTGCCCAGGGCTGGCCCAGCTCACACCTCCCCATGACCTCTCCCTGGCATGCAGTGGGAAGCGGTGTGCTCCCATTGTCTCTGTGCTCCTCAGGAGATGTGCTACAGCCCCGCTGTCCCCCATGTCCCATTGTGCTCCTCTGCCTCAGCCCCAGCCCTGCCGCACCCCAGTGGGATCTGGCTGTGAGCCCTGGCAGCTCAGCCCCTTCTCACAGCACCTCTTTATCATCCTTCAGTCGCAGCGGTGTGTGAGCAGCAGGGCAGCGGGCACACCTGGCAGCAGAGCCTTTGCTGACATGTGGGAATGGGGCCGAGAGCTGCTGAGCACAGCAGCTGGTGTGCTGCAATGGCTTTGAGTCAGCCCTGTGCCTCTGTCAGGAGACAGCATGAGAACCCACCCGGCCCCCTGCCCTGCACCCTGAGCTGCCTTAGTGCTATATCTGAGCCCCTCCACAGCAGAAGACCCTTTGGCCTCAATCCCCATCACTGAGTGAGGAGGGGGCATCCCCAGAGGCGGTTCGTGCAGAGGGATCACCGTGTCCCAGAGCAGCAGCTCTGCTCCACAGCGGAGCTGCACAGGGCAGGCAGGGACAACATGGGGTGTGGTGGGGGGATCTCCCCATCTTCCCATCCCAATCCCTGCTCCCTGCTGTGAGTTCGGGCTGCTCTGCTGCTCCTGGCTGCTGCTGAGCACCCAGGTGAGGGCTCCCAGCATAGCGCTGCTCAGCACCGTCCTGTGGTGTGAGCAATGTGTGTGGGTATAGGAACCAGGCGGGGTCTGAACCATCCTGCTGCAGGACAGCCCCAAGGCGCAATGCAAGGCACGGCTGGGGTGGAAAGGGATTTGGTCTCCTTTTCCACAGCAAACCCACAGCATGTTGCAGCCCCAAATGCAGGCAAGGGGACAAATGCACCACGCACAGTACGAGCACAGTTCCTTGGTCTGGAACTGCCACCCCCACCCACAGGAGCTCCCCGCCCTCCACCCCGCACGTCCCTGCCCGAGGAGGAGCTGCACTGCCCCCATTGCTGCAGGGACTGCCAGGCAGCAAAGAGCTGAGCTTGTTCCTGCTTGCAGCCCAGCAGTGCTGCCAGGCAGCCCCGTGCTCAGAGCTCTCCTGGCACCTCGCGGAGAGCGGAGGTTTCACAGCCGGAGATGACAAAGGCTGAGCAGCACGGGAGGAAGGCTGCAGCCCGGGGCAGGGCAGGACCTCAGCCCCATGCAGCGGGCGGAGCGCACCCTGCGGGACACCGTAGGAGCAGCACAGCAAAGTGCTGCGGAGGGTCCCTGAGGGAGGCAGGAGCTGAAGGTGCCCACAGCTGCTTTCAGCAGCACGTGGCAGGATGGCACCGGGACACATTGCTGTGTGGGGACAGAGCGTCAGGAGCTCCCCTTCACACGGCCCGGTGACGGTGCCTCCATCCCAGCAGCACCCAGCAGACAGATGTGTTTCACTGCACGCCCCACAGCCCCGACCTCAGGCGGGCAGAGATCAGCACAACTGAGTGCTGAGTGCTCAGTTTTTCCAGGGTTTGCCACCTTTGGGACGGGCATTCCCAGGAATGCCCTCGTGCAGAAGGGATGGTGACCTTCGGGATTCCCTGCACGACCTTTGCCCCATAGCTCTGTGCTCACTGCTGCCGTGCTGCGGCGCGATCCAGGAGCACATTTACCGCTGGTGCTGCTTTGCTGACTGATGGGATCAAATAGCGTACACCAGAAATGCAGCTCATCCCGAATCCAGCTCTGTGCGGTCACACGGAGGCTGCAGGAAAGATGTTGGAGGAGAAAAGCTGGTTTCTAGGAATGTCGCAGCCACTGCAACACCGCCGTGCAGGCGGACGGAGCAGCATTGCCACCTCGTGGGCAGCGCGGGGCCCGCAGCTCCCTGCTCTGACGGAGCCCTGGCGGTAAAAGCCCTCCGTCGGCAGCGCTCCGCCCGTCGAGGCGCGCTGACATCGTCCTTCTCCTCCTCTGCTGTCCGGACGGGCGGGACGTGGCTGCGGGAGATGATTCTTGATCCGGGAAGGGGGAAATTGAGCAGAAACGGAGGGGAGAAGTGCTGCCTGCTGGGTCACGGCGCAAATTCACATTTTAATGACAGTTTTAGCCAGTGCTCCAGCACATAACGACATGGAAAAGTGACAGGTACTTCAGAAGCACAAACGATCCCTTCTGCCCGGCGCAAGGCAGCGAACGGCGTATCTCAATCAAAGCCCCAGGAACGAAGCGACGGCTGCCAGGGCCGCACAGAGCGGCTCGGCCCGGTGCCGATCGTCCCTCGGAAACCCGCGGCTCCACGGACGGCCGCAGAGCAGCGCTGGCCGAGCAGCGCAGCGCCGTGCGGCTCCGTCGGCGCCCAGAGGCGCTCGAGCCCCGACCGGACCGCACGGCTTCCGCCCCGTCCTCACGCGGCGGATCCCCGCCCTCCGTTCCCGCACGTCGGGGCGCTCCGGCACCGCAGGGCTGGGTGCGACGCGCGAGGGCCGTGGCACGTAGCGGCCAGCAGCCGATCGCGGCGCCCACAGCGCGGGGCCGGGCCGCACAACGGGAGCCCCGGGAGCCGCGCGAACCGCGTCCGCTTCGAGGAACGGCCGGCCCGGGCTCCCGCGGGGCCGCTCCGCCGTCGGCGCATCCCTGCGGGCCTCCGCCGCCCCGGGCCGGGACCTCGCAGAGCCGCCCAACCGCCGCAGCGCGGGGCGAGCGGCCCGGGGGCTCCGCGGCACCGAACGCCGACGTCCCCGGGGCGGGGAGGACGGCCGGGCGGACTGCGGGCATCGCGGGGCGGGGAGCCGCCACTGCGGGGAGCGGACGGCACGAGGGGGCGCGCAGGCCCCGCAGCGGGCGGACAGCGCCGAGCCGAGCCGAGCCGAGCCGAGCCGAGCCGAGCGGCGCGGGCCGCCCGGAGCAGCGCGGCCGCAGCACGGCGCGATCCCCGCCCCGCCAGGCGCTGCCCGAGGCCTCGCGAGGCGCCGCCGCACCGCGCCTGCGCGGCACCGCGTGCCGCTGCCCCCCCACCCCAGCCCGCGCGGCTTCGAATTGCGCATGCGCACGGCTCCCGTCGCGCCAGCCGGGGCGTGGCCGCGCTCGGCCGTACGTCGTGACGCCCCCGCGGGGCGGCCAATCGCCGCGCTCGATTCCCGTGCGTGCTGACGTCACGCGGAGGTGGTATATAAGCGGGCGGTGCCGGTCCCGCCCCCGTGACAGCGTCCGCAGCCGCCGCCGCGAGAGCATCCTCCGTCTCAGCCGCTCGCGCCGCCGCCGCCACCCGCCGCGTCGCCGCCTCCGCCGCCGCCCGCCGCCGCCGCCTCGCCGAGGGAAGGGAAGCGTATCGTATGTCCGCTATCCAGAACCTCCAACCCTTCGGTGAGGCCTTTGTGCGGCGCTGGGCCGGGCCGGGCCCGGCTGCCCCTCCCTGCGGCGGCTCCGCCCCGTGGCGCAGCTGCGCTCCGGGCCGCGTTGCGTCAGCCGCGGGGGGGTGGGGGCGGGGAGGGGGCGGGGCCGGGCGTTGACGGGCGGGCGGGAGGGCCAATGGGAGCGCGGCGGGGCGGGGCCGGCGCTGACGCGCTTTCCCCGCAGACCCCTTTGCTGATGCAAGTAAGGGTGATGACCTGCTTCCTGCCGGCACTGAGGACTACATCCATATAAGGATCCAGCAGCGGAACGGCAGGAAGACCCTCACCACTGTCCAGGGCATCGCGGATGATTACGATAAAAAGAAACTGGTGAAGGCGTTCAAGAAGGTGGGCTGTGGGGCTGTGTGGGGCCGGGGGGCAGTGGGACGCGGGGGGGCTGTGGGGCCGGGGTAGCAGTCATGGGTTTTGTCATCCTGAAGGAGCCGCCTTCTTTCCCCAGAAATTTGCCTGCAATGGTACTGTGATCGAGCACCCTGAGTATGGAGAAGTGATTCAGCTGCAGGGCGACCAGCGCAAGAACATCTGCCAGTTCCTCGTCGAGGTAGGGCTTAATTGCTGAGCTGAGAGCGAGTGCTGTAATAGCGGGGCAGAACCTGACTGCGTGCAAAAGAGCAGCAGAGGGAGGAGACTGCTCCTGTGCTTATTGAAACATTTGCTGGAGGAGTACGTTACTCTGTGAGATTTAGCAGTTGCAGTCTTGTTTTCATTCCATGCTTAGGGGCGAAGCAGGAATTTGTCAGTTCTGCAGCGCAGATGGCGTATGGATGTTCACAGAGGTTTGTGTGGTGCGAGGTGCTATAAAGTGCATTTTTTTCTTGCAGATTGGACTGGCCAAAGACGACCAGCTGAAAGTCCATGGGTTTTAAGTGCCCATGGGCCACTGAAGCTTTATGCAAGAAGATTTCCTTACAATGAGATTCCCATCTGTCCCTTGTCATAAGTTTAAAACCAGTCGGTTTGTGTAATGTAACATTCTTGGGTCCACTGTTCAGTCTGGACTGGTGTAATTCAGTGATGTAATAAACTGACAAGAGCCCATGCTATCTCGTCTTGCTGTCCCTCATTTAACAGAGGTAATTTGGGCGTTTAGCTTCAGGCTGGATAACGCCACAAGTGCCCGGCTGCTCCCCACTGAGCCCAGGGACTGCCCCCATCTCTGCCCCCCCAGTGGCCCTCTCGTTTCCATGGGCAATGACCATGGTGGCCCTGCAGCAAGGTGCCGAGCTGCGGCACGGCCGGGGCAGACAGGACCCTCTCTGTAGGCTGCCTCATTCCTGGTGGTAGAGGGATCTGGGGAAGCTGAGTAGGAGTGACCTCAAGGCTGGATGTCTGCAATCCTGGCCTGGCAGGTGCTGATGTCACGCAAGGCCAAAGAGTGTGGGCTGCTGTACCTGAAGGAACCATCGCCCTGGCTTAAACTTCTGACAAGGGATCAATTTTGGACTAATGTAACAAGTATCATTGTAAATAGAGCCGCAGAGCTTACGTGTTACTAGCAACTGCTGCCTAATGCCCTGTGAAGTAACAGATTTTTGGTTTCATTTTTAATGTTTTATGTAATGTATTTAAAGTCTTATTTAAATAAAAATGGTTTTGAAAAGTATTGGCTGGGTGCATTATTCAGTTGCATTTTGAAGCCAGAATGCTTTGTTTCGGAGAGGCAGTGGCACAGCACTGTGAGAGCTGAAGCCCATGTGCTGCATGGAGCTGCTGTGCTGGGCAGCTGTGAGCACTGTGCTGTGCTGTGCAGCACAGAGTAGTGTGACCCAGCATAGGAAGGGGAACACAGAGCAACTTCAGTGCTGCTCTTCCTCATCCCTGGCCAAAGTTGAAGAAAAACAGCCCATGAGCAGAGGTTGAGTCACTCCCTCACTGGGCTGGACTGTACTAAGCCTTGCACCAGGTCTTGTGCCCGCTGCTGGCCCAGAAGTGGTTTGTGGGGTCAGTGCTGCTGCAGGAAGGGTTCTGTCCCCACAACCAAGCACTGCTGCAGGCCGGGCTGCGGCTGGAGGTCACTGAAAGTGCAGGAGTGGAACAGTTTTGCAACAGGCCTGGAGATGTGGGTCTGCAAGTGCAACATGAGCAGGAAGTCCGTGCACTTCCCTCTGCAGTGCTGCAGGCAGCTCCGTCCCAACCTGTGCACAGTGGGACCACTGGGAGCTGCTGGGGGGTTGGCAGCCCTCAAAAAGCGTGTCCTGTTCATCTCCTTGCTGCTGTGGAAGGCCCTGACTTTCAGCCTGCTTTTCCATGCACCCAGCTCACCTCGCTGCCCTGTACTTCCCTGTGAGACCTTGCTCCCGGAAAGCAGTTTGCTGCAGTAACTGCCTTCCACCCATCAGCAAAGGCATTGCGTGCCAACCCTGCTCCGAGCTCCTGCCTGCACTGAGGGATGTTGTGTGGTCCTGTATTGGGAAGGTAAAGAAGACAGCCCTGCTTCCTCTGCGCACACAGCCGGGGCTGGAGGAGCCGAGCACTGCCTGCTGCAGGGCCACACATTTACCTGCTGGCTGTGAGGTGTCGGTGCTGTCCCTGCTCCCTTGGCTGTGGTGCAGTGCTCTGATGGCACAAGGACGGCCCTGTGCACATGGCACTGCAGCCCCACATCACAGCCCCACAGAGTGAGGGCTGCAGGGAGCAGCCGCTGTGAGCCCGTCACTGCACGGCTCATTTGGCCCAGATTGAGCCATTAAAAGCCCAAAATGACAAAACAATTTGTTTGTTCTTTGTAAAAATCGCTCCCAAGAGGGAACCATTGATTGCTGCGGGCAGCGGAGGAGCAGAGCACGCTGCCTCCTGCCCATCCAAAGCCCATTTGTTTGGGGCTTATCTGAGGATCGGTGCCCTCTGCAAACACAGCCAGGGCTGGGGCAGATGTCAGCACGTCACTGCTGCATCCTCTATTGAAGGGATGAGGCAAATGTTCCCAAACACTGCGGGATGAGGGTCAATACAAGAGGAACCGTGGCCCTGTGAGATAACAGCAGCCCCAGCGCTGTCCCTCCGAGCACAGAGAGGGGGAGGAGCCGCCCCAGGAGCACCGCGGTGTGGGGATGGTGGGGAGATACAGTTCTGTGCCTATGTGTAATACAGCTCTGCTTCATAGCCACATGTGGCTGTACGTTCATTCTCTGCGGCTGTACAGTTCTGCTGTACCTTTCTGTGAACCTTAAAGGCAGACACAGCACTCTGTGCAGCTGAGCCATGCAGCACCCAGTTCTATGCAGCACTGTCTGTCTCTACAGAAATATGTGTATGTGCCTCCATGTCTGCTGCAGTGTGTAAGCACGTACACAGACAATGTAAGTACATCTCCTGTGCATAGACACACATCTATGTAGGCATACACTTATGTACATAGTATCTGTGTACCCACATCTCTGCCTGTGTGTCCGACTGAGTGAATACACGTGTATCCATGGTCCATACGCATGTTTGTGTCCAGCATCACAGCGTGGTTTGTGCTGGAAGGGGCCCTGCAGCTGCTGCAGCCTCTGAGTGCCCCATGGACCCCTGCCCCCCTTGTCCTGGTGTGGGGCACAGAGCTGTGCTGTGGGGCAGCTCGGAGCAGAGCTGGAGTGCGTGTATGTGTGTGTAAAGAGATGTGTGTGCGTGTGTACACATATGTGCAGTGTGTATGGATGGGTGTCTGTGTGCATGGATGCATGTATGCACAGATGTGTGTGTATGGATACGTGCACCTATGGATAGATGCGTGCACACGTGTGTGCATACACATGGCTGCATGTGTCTGCGTGTGCACGGCTGCATGCACGTCTGTGTGGGCGGCCGCGTGCGTCCATCCCCGCGTATCTCCGTGCTCCGAACACCGCAGCGGTCGGAGCCGCCCCGGGGCGGAGCGCAGCGCGGGCGCCTTCAAAAGTGCGGACGGAGCGCAGGGAGCGGCGCGGAGCCCCCGGAGCAGCAGCGTGAGGTGAGGAGGGACGTGCGAACAGCCGGGGGGGGTGGAGGGGAGCTGGGGACGAGCACGACGCTGCCCGTCCCTCGCTCCAGTTTGTGGCTGCAGCCCCGCTCTCCCCTTCCCTCCGCAGCCATGAAGACGAAGGTGTTCCTCGGCCTCATCCTCAGCGCGGCGGTGACCGCCTGTCTGTGCCGGCCGGCAGCGAAGGCCCCGGGGGGCTCCCACCGCCCCCCCTCCAGCCCGGCCCGGCGGGATTGGCCCGAGCCCCCGTCCCAGGAGCAGCAGCAGCGCTTCATCTCCCGCTTCCTGCCTCACGTCTTCGCAGGTACCGCAGCTCCCGGATCTCTCCCGCCCCAGCCCCGGCCCCGGGCGGCTCTGACCCTCTCCCCTCACCTCCGCAGAGCTGAGCGACCGCAAAGGCTTCGTGCAGGGAAACGGGGCGGTAGAGGCCCTGCACGACCACTTCTACCCCGACTGGATGGACTTCGGCCGCCGGAGCACCGAGGATGCGGCCGATGCTGCGTAGCCCCGCGCGGAGCCCCGACACTCTCAGCACATCTCTGGTCCCGCAATAAAGCTTTGGCACTCCCAGCTCTGCTGCTGCTGCCGTTGGGAGGTGCGGCTGTGGGGGAGACAGCGAGCTGCCTCAGGTGGTCGCGTTTATTCCATAGAGATGGGGCACATCTGCAGGCAGCCCCGCGCAGCGCTGCTACATCTATTTGTGGGGCAGAAAAGAGTTTAGAAAACACCGCTTTAAAACCGCCGCTTGCTCTAGGAGTCAGTTCGGGTCGCGGCAGTGGGAGCTCAGCCCGACACGTGCAGCCGCTGCTCCTCTCCCTCCGGTTGTGCCGCCAGCAGGGGGGGTTGGGGGGGCTCAGGGAAGGGGCCTCTCACTGCAGAGCTCCGCGTTCTGCCGCTGAGATAAAGCCCCATAAACGGCTGCCGGGCTCTGCGCTGTCCCAGGGCGGGTGACGCCGCCGCGCAGCAGCTGAGGGAGCCCAGGGCTGTTTGCCCGCGGCTGGAGATGAAGAGAGCGGAGGATTCGTTCCGTCCCGCGTGCCGTTGCTGTGCCGTGCCCTCACGTGGGCGCATCGCGCTGCTCCCGGCGCTCCCCGTGCGCGTAGGACCGCTCCCCACGGGCCACCACCCGGTGCAGCCCCAGGCGCCGCAGCTTCTGCACGAGGTTCCCGCTGAAGATGCTGCTCCGCGATGAGGGTCCCCGCTGCCCCTCCGCCGCAGCGCAGGGCTGGGGGGACGGGGGGGCTCTCCTGGTCGGGGCCGGGAGTAGCACAGCATTGATGCCGCGCAGCAGCAGGAGGCGGACGAGACCCAGAGGGGATGCGGGGCGGTGTGCCGGCGCCGGGCAGGACGGCCGCAAAGACTGGGAGCTGCGGTTCAGCCCTTCAAAGGGCCCACAAGAAGGCACGACGGAGTGATGCAGACTGCAGGGAGAGAGCAGAGCGGGGCTCAGGGAGGAGCACTGGCAGGGCTGGGCCCAGTGCTGCGCGCTCATTCATCGTGCGTGCAGGGCAGTTTGTGCGGTGGTGTTTGGCTTTTGTTTTTGCTAATGCTGTGAACTCCAGCTCACACCAATGCCCTCCGCCCCATTAGTGCTTTACAATAGTGCTCAGCAGTTAAGGTGCCCATTCCTTGCTCCATCCTGACCCCAGCAGGAAGGCACCAGGCTCTGCTCTAGCCCCAACGTCCCACTCCTCCCACACAAAGCCCCCCGCACAGGGGGGCAGAACAGGCAGGAGGGATAAGGGGAGACAGCAGGGAGTGGTGCAGGCGGGGAGGGGGGGGCACATACCTGGGCATCACCGTGGTGAGCTCAGTGGTGGGGTGGAGGATGTGGCAGGTGGTGATGGTGAAGGTGGACGGGGTCTGGGGGAGGTTGTTAGCAGAGAGGAGCACTGGAGGGGACAGGAGACGGAGGGTTAATGGGACATGGAGGGAAGGGCGCAGAGAGCAGGGTGGGGTTACCAACGTTAGGCTGGAAGCTGTCACAGGCAGCAGAAACCCACACACAAGGGGGAAACAGTGCTGGCTATGCTTCAGCCCAATACAGCTCAGAGGAGACACAGAGAGCCCAAAGTGCTCCTGGAGCCTCCTTGGCCACATGCCTTCATGGCACTAGGGCAGCTCTGGGGGAAGGGACAGGCGGAAGGAATGGGAGAGGGAAGAGCACAGGGAGGAGCACGGGGCAAAGAGCAGAGGAGGGCAGAGAGGGACTGAGGGCCACGTCCCGCCCATTTCTGTGCCCCCCGCTCACCCCCGGGGCGCTCCATGGCTTTGGCAGGCGTGGAGGTGGGCAGCAGCTGGAAGGAGGCAGCCTCCACCTCATCCTCCTCCAGGTCGGTGAGGCTGTACACCTCCTCCAGGTCGATGTCCAGTGGCCTGAAGTCCTTAGTGAGCACCCCGGGACGCGGCACCAGGATCCCCCCCAGGTTGGGCTGTGCCAGCTGCTGCCAGTGGTGGAGCGTCACTGAGCCTGGAGGGAGGATACAGGCGTGCAGAGGGGCTCAGCTGGGAACATAGGACCTTTCTGGCATTCCCGGGGCTGCACGACGTCCCCTCGCTTTCCTCACCTTCCAGCGGCTTCACGATCTGCAGCTTGTCAGGCAGAAAGCTGAGCGAGCCCAGCGAGAAGCCGGAGGCAGCGGTGTGCTCAGAGCCCCCCGAGCAGGTGGTGCCGGCAGACACAACGCTGCCGTCGGGCGTCGGGATCCCGCTGGAGCCGTCCTCATCCCGCAGGCGCCACAGCTTGTGCTCCCGCTCCGCCTCGAAGAAGGAGCGCTCCTCCGAGGAGTGGCACCGCTGCTGCACCGACAGCCGCTGCACCGCCGCCTCCAGATCCTGGCGGCCGGGGGCTGCCCGTGGGCCCGCAGTCCTGCAGCGGCACGGGGGTCAGGGGCTCGACGCATTGCGCTGCGCATCGCACGGTGTTCAACGACCCCCAGCCCCACCCAGCCCCTCTGCCCCGAACCCCCCCACACTCACTGGGCACCCTCTGGACTGGGGTGAGGAGTGCTGCCCCCCCCGGAGGGAGCGGCCGACGTCTGCTTGGAGCCGGGTGTGTGCTGGGGGGACGCGGAGCTCGACCGGGCTTTGGCCGCGTGGTTCACTGCCTTCACCGTCTCGAAAACACGCAGGCAGCTCCTGTGGGCAGGGAGCGGGTGGGGCTGTGCTCAGGGCAGCCCCCAGCACAGGATCACGGAATCACTGCCATCAACTCATCCCTACCACGTCCCCAAGTGCCACATCTCCTTTCTTGGACCATCCCCCCCCCCCCCCCCCCCCCCCCCCCCCCCCCCAGCTCAGGTCATCAGCCCCCACCTGTAGTCTGAGGAGGACTCCGTCCCCTTCCTCATCGTCCCCTTGATCTCAGCAGCCAACGATTCCTGCGGGGTTGGGATGCAGCGTCAACACAGGGGAGCTGTGCCCCCACCCACCCCACCCCGCACCCCCCCACACACACCAGGGGCAGGAGGCTGCTGCCGGCACCGTAGCGGCTGACGGTGCTGTTGGGCAGACTGCGGCTGCGAAGGCTCTTCACCTCCTCCTGGGCCTCCTGCAGCATCCCGCCGCACTCCACGTATTTGTCCTGCAGGTCCCGCAGCTGCGGGGGGGGAGCACTGCTCAGAACACAGCCCCCACCGGTGGGACCTGCAGCCACGCCCCCTCCCCCCCCCACACTCACCTCCGTCCGGAGCTGCTGCTGCACCTCCTTGGCCGCGGCCAGGTGCTGCTGGAGCTCCTCCACCTCCGTGCCGTACTGCAGAGCAGCGGGCAGGGAGTCAGAGGGGGCTGTGCGCTGTGCCCCCGTGCCCCCCAGCACAGAGCAGGGGAGGGATGCTCACCGTTCTGCACTTCTGCTGCAGCTCCACCACCTGCGCCAGGAGCTGACTGATCTCCTCCTGCTGCCTTGCTGTGTCCTCAGCCTTGCGGGCCAGCTCTTCTGACAGGCAGGCGACCTGCTGGCTGGCTGCAGCTGCGGGGGAGCACTGTCACCATTTACCCAGGTGCTCCCCAGCACCCAGCAGGTGTCCCCCTCCTTCCCCCCAGCTCAGCCCACATACAGAACTGCTCCACACAGTCAATCATCAGCTGCTGCTCCTGGTCCTCGTACCGGCTGGTCTCTGTCACAATGGTGGTGGCCTGGGGGAGAGGACAGGGGCTGTGTTTGATGAGCAGTGCGTTCCCCCCAGCATCACCACTGGGTGCCCCACGCTGCCCTCACCTCTAGGCGAAGCTTCTGGTTCTCCTCCTCCAGGCTCCGGAGCTTCTGCTGCAGGGCGTCGTACTGGAAGCACTGCTGCAGGGACAGCGAGGACTCATTCCGGCGCAGCCTGGGGACAGCGGGGTGGGCGCTGAGCACCTGCAGTGTGGGCAGGATGAGGCCCTGCCAGCCCCCTGTCCCATATCCATGGGGCAGCCCCATAGAGCCCACTCACGGTGTGATGGGGGCTGAGGTGGGCTCACTCTCCTCCGTGTTGGTGGTGTAGAAATGAAGCAGATCGTCCCTCATGGAGACCTCATGGCGCAGCTGTGCGATCTGGGGGGAACATCAGGGCTCAGCTCAGGGGCACAGCCCTGCACAGTCCCCAACCCCCAGCACAGGGCCGAGGGTGGTACCTCCTCCTTGGCCAGCTCCAGCTGCTCCTCCAGCAGCTCATTGCGCTCTGTCAGGCTGCGGTTCTGCTTCAGCAGGGACTGTCCAATGCGCGCCGCCAGCTCCAGGTCTCTCTCTTTCTGCAGGAGGCGGGGGGGGGAATGGACTGAGTGTCAACCAGGACTATCTCCTCTGGTCCCTGTCCTGCAGCCCCAGGTCTCCATGCACCAGCTCACCTCATCCAGCAGGTTGGTGACAGCATCAATGTCGTGGTACGTCTTGGTGATCCGCACAGTACGCTCAGTGCACAGGACTGGGGGAGAAGGGTGAAGCTGAGCCTGGCTGTGCCCTCACACAGGG